AGGCGTTGCAATGAAAAGGCGTGATATATTCGAATATGGTACCATGAGGGCGTGGCAATGTAGGAAGGCCCTATGGGGGCGTGGCAATGATTTGGGGCGTGACAATACAGCTTGCAAGAACTTTGAACGATGCAGTATAATCTCTCGTGTGATCATTATACCATCAGTGTCCTCAATATTCATAATATCCAATTAATGTCTCCAATAGACGTGTCCAATGTTACTATTACCTCTAATGTCATCAAATTACCCTTGTGATTGCTTCTGCGAGAGTGCTTCTCGTATCTCATATATCATTAACATTCCAGTCTCCCAAATGCCTGAACTCCTTTGTCTTTGAAAAAGCAGAGTAACTGTACATCCCACTGCAAGTACAGACTAAAGCACCTTGATTCTATTTAGGTGCGAACAGGTTAACCTTGTATACAGTTGCCGAGAGAACAATGCCGGATTCATTATTTGTCGCGTGTTCCGCTCACCATCGCTTCCTCTTTGAAGAGATGCCATTAAAAATGCAGCACCCTCTCTGGAACGCGAGGGATTCTAAAGATTCAAAGCGTTGAAGTGCTGTTTCGCGTGTACCGTCAATTGATATCCTGATTTCCATTTGCGGAGCGAAGACAATTACCCTTTCTCTTGTATCTCGTTGCAGACTGACGTTGTTTTATCAGGCTGTGATAATAATCGAACAATAACGCTGCAGTAAAATTGTCACTCTCGTTTGTTGATTCCTCTCCGACGAACGCGAGTGAACCCTACGAGATACGAATCAGAGATCAGTTGCATTGTTTGTTTTCGTTTGTCCACGTCCCGTACCGCCGTCCTTATTTTCCATTCCCTGTTGATTGTCCATGACTGTTTGCTCCTTGCCTCCGCGTCTGTTTGAAAGTAGCAAATTTTAAATGATCAGCCAACAGCGAACGCCGTCCCTGAAGGGTATTACGAAAGACGTTTAAGTTTCCGAAGAAGGATCCCGGAGAAATAATATCTAAAGGAATGTTGCGAACTTTTTCAGACAAAGCTGCAAAATATTCTTAGATTGCATTACCAACTTTTTAAACACGTTACGTTACAAACGTCTGAAGAAGGTCGTTCGGGGATTATTCTGTCCATTTCAAACGAAGTTTTTCGATACTACGAAACAAACTGAGTGCCGGAGAATCGTTTAGAAGATTTATGAGTTTAATTTAAAAGTTATAACTACTGGAATCATGACTGACAAGCTTTAGTTCATTGTTTCGAAGAAACCAACTGGAACCCTTTCCACCTGTAATAAATATTCTATTCATTTGCGTTTGTTCTCCTAAAATGATTAATGGCTACGAACTTCTGGCCATGTACTGTCTTATTCTACTTACGTCTGACCATGTACTGTCTTATTCTACTTACGTCTGACCATGTACTGTCTTATTCTACTTACGTCTGGCTATGTACTGCCTTATTCTACTTACGTCTGACTATGTACTGTCTTATTCCACTTACTTCTGATCATGTACTGTCTTATTCTACTTACGTCTCACCATGTACTGTCTTATTCTACTTACGTCTGACTATGTATTGTCTTATTCTACTTACGTCTGACTATGTACTGTCTTATTGTACTTACGTCTGACCATGTACTGTCCTATTCTACTTACGTCTGACCATGTACTGTCTTATTCTACTTGTCTGACCTGAATCTGCTCACACGCACACTACTTGCCTGACTACACTGACATGCTCCACTAAACTGACATCTTTTCAAACGTACATCAAGCATTTTTACAGTTCCGCAACCCATAAAATATCTTGAATTCTGAATAATATGCAGAGCGCTATAAAATGCAAAATTTAAATGAAATCCATAAAGCTAGAATCTTCGAAAAAAGTTTACGACCATGAAATACCCTAATTCCGCAAAGAGTTGAATACTAAAAAAAGGCAAGATTCATGAATACCAAATTCGAACGAACCATGAATCCGAAATTTACCGCCACTTCCTCGATATCATTATCCCCCGCAAAAAAATCATTCGCGGGAAACAATTCGAAAGCACCCCCGGAGAGCGGAAAACAAACCGCGAAAAAACGAAGGGGTGATTTATGGAGGCGTCGATGTACCGCAAAAAGAGCAACGAAAGAAACAAATGGCCGACAACGGTTACGGAAACGGCTCGTTAGGAGGATAAAGGAACAGGTACGAAACCGCCGGCCGTTTTCCGAATTCCCTTTCGACCGACGGGACACTTCCGGTGATCGATGAAACGTGGCGCAATTAAGCGACGCGGCGCCGCTGCAAGCCGATAAGGAACGGCGCAATAAAGTGAAACGAAGAGGCCAGCCTTCTTCCGGTTGCCGTTCGAGAAGGACGCTTGTCGACCAAGTTTCTCTACTTTGCCGCATTTTGATAGCTTGCCAGCGATCTGTTCACCTGCACTTCCTCGATTTTAATCACCCTGATAATTTTCAATTTTACCACCGTTCTGTGATTTTCATTTCTATTACAAGTTTGCTCGTTCATTACTGGTCCTGTTGGTCTTACAATTTTATTGCTGGAGGCATCAGTAGCCCCTATTGATATCAGGGTCCTAAGTGGACCTGGTAGTTCTATTGCTGTAAGTGTCCCTACTGTCCCTGTTGCTACCAGCGTCCTAGGTGGGCCTGGTAGTCCTATGGCTACCAGAGTCCACATGTACCTAGCATCCCTACTGCTACCAGTGCCTCTAGTGGTCTTAGTAGCCCTATTGCTGTAAGCATTCCTACTGTCCCTGTTGCTACCAGCGTCCTAGGTGGGCCTGGTAGTCCTATGGCTACCAGAGTCCACATGTACCTAGCATCCCTACTGCTACCAGTGCCTCTAGTGGTCTTAGTAGCCCTATTGCTGTAAGCATTCCTACTGTCCCTGTTGCTACCAGCGTCCTAGGTGGGCTTAATAGTCCTATGGCTACCAGTGTCCACATGTACCTAGCATCTCTATTGCTACCAGTGCCTCTGGTGGTCTTAGTAGCCCTATTGCTGTAAGCATCCCTACTATCCCTGTTGCTTCCAGCGTCCTAGGTGGGCCTGGTAGTCCTATGACTACCAGTGTCCACATCTACCTAGCATCCCTACTGCTACCAGTGCCTTTGGTGGTCCTAGTAGCCCCATTGCTGTAAGCATCCCTACTGTCCCTGTTGCTACCAGTGTCCTAGGTGGGCAGAATAGTCCTATGGCTACCAGTGACCACATGTACTTAGCATCCCTATTGCTACCAGTGCCTCTGGTGGTCTTAGTAGCCCTATTGCTGTAAGCATCCCTACTGTCCCTGTTGCTACCAGTGTCCTAGGTGGGCAAAATAGTCCTATGGCTACCAGTGTCCACATGTACATAGCATCCCTATTGCTACCAGTGCCTCTGGTGGTCCAGTAATCCCATTACTATAAGTGTCCCTACTGTCTCTATATCCACTACAGTCCCAGGTGGTCCTCCTAAGTCCTAATGATCCTAATGCTACTAGTGTCCCCAGTGCTCTTACCCAACAGTCCTGTCCCGTTGCTCCTAATTTCCCTAGAGCTCCCATTGGACTTATGAACCTCCCCATATTCATCAAAGCTATTGTACCTCCCCGTATTCATCAAATAATCCACCCTTTGACCACATAATCTACATTGCATGAAAACTCAGTAGATATAAAATAGAATATTCCGGCAATCGGTAATCGAACAGGCTTGTCCTGATTTCGGTATAATCGAGGGATCGTCTTTCATCGGATATCGTTCAACAAATTTACCTTCGCAACCACGTACCCAGATCCTGTCGCAACCGACAAGCGCATTCTAATCAGAAACTAATCAGCACGAGCTTAACAACTCGCTGTCAGTTTGTGTTACTCCTATGTAATCGAAAATGACGCGGTGTCACGAGAGACAGCCACTGTGCCTGAAATATCGATGCCAACCGTATTCCATCTTGACCTGGGATCACGTTAAATCACTGTGAGAATAATATTCGTCTGAACTACTTAATTATTTGAGTTCCATTGTAAGGCAGTCCAAATAGACTTGAACTCAAATTGAAGTAAACGAAGATTTGAAGAATTGAGTAAAATCGAGGTCGAGGTACCAGTGCGTCACGAGTGCGTCATAAGGCAAACTAGTGAAAGTAGTGCAAGGGGTGAACTTTCCAAAAGTTTTCTTCAGAGTCAATCCTCGAGGCACTTAGTAATTCTGTCAGCGTGTAATTGCAATTATGCGAACGATCACTTGGATATCATTTAATTTATCGCGTTGCCAGCAATCTGTTGCATATCCACTCCACCAACTGCGCTCTGCTCATTTCGTTTCCATGATCGATCACTCTCTTCCCTTTAATTTAAAGGACCTTAATTTGAAGGCTGAAGCATTCGCAAGAAAGACATTTGCATGAGAAATAACCCTCGCCAGGGTATACTTTGCTCGGTCAAGAACATTAAGGTTCATCGGCACCGTAGATACAGGTTGGTGCATTTAGTTGGCCCTAATGTCCTGTAAACCATAACAGCCAGCTGTGATTTGTGAGAACGATAAATCCATTGGAATTTAAGTCCGATCGTATTCGCGATTTACGACGGCGTGATTTGTGTCGGTGCGATTTACCGCGAACGGTGTCGTGCAGTGCCCGTTTATAGGAAATTTGTTTCGGGGATGTGTTTCCAATATGGACGATAATGAACCGTCCTCGCTACGCGAAACTACCCTCGATGAATGACGGCGAAATTCGGTGAAATACGAGTAGGAATTTTTTCGACGACTCTATTATGCCATCTACAGATTTCGACGAAAATATTATATAGCCACAAAAAAATGTATTTATGTCAAAAATATAGCGATCGAGGGTGAAGGTTTGAAAATTATTACATAAATATTTCACTTTGAAATTTTTTATTTTGCGACACTTCAGTTGGATTATAATTACCATAATTTGACGGTGATTATGGCACTTAATTAGAAATAAAAATTTGTTCAAGAACATGTGTAAATTTCAGGAAGTTTGTATGTTATTCAGGGTGAAGAGAGTCAATACGACGTGGACGGCTTTTTCGAGTGTCTTCCGTGTGCAGAGGGCTGCGAGTCCTGCGAGGACGATTCTCCCTGTGTGGTTTCCTTGAACTGGTTGATGAGAACGGCCATTTTGATTCTGGAATGCTGTGTCATTGCCTGTTTGCCGGCTGTTGCCCTTTTCACTTGGAAATACGGAAACGTGAAGGTAAGCGATTCAAGGCAAATTTACCTCTATTCATGAATACTGCTGTGGTTAAGTACAGTGGTTCTCGTTATATGGCCGACGGTAGGAAGTTGCAAATTTCCTTGCCATTTGGATTTACCAAATCTATTATAATAAATATTGCAATAAACTCGAGGCAAATTTACCTCTATTCGTGAATAGTGCTGTGGTTAAGGTTTTCGTTATATGGCCGACGGCAGGAACTTGAAAATTTCCTTGTCATTTGGATTTACCGAATCTATTATAATAAATATTGCAATAAATTCAAGGCAAATTTACCTCCATGCATGAACAGTGCTGTTGTTAAGGTTCTCGTTATATGGCCGACGGTAGGAACTTGAAACTTTCCCTGCCATTTGGATTTGCCAAATCTATTATAACATTATAATAATCCCTATTATAATAAATAATAAACATAACCTTCAATCGGCCATATAACGAGACTCCCCAAAATTAGTGCTTGAACACCGAATCTTTTTCCTGAGTTTATGAACCCTCCCAGCACTCGTCACATTTCTCGAATCTACACCATCCTCAAAGTCTATTTAATCCGTTCAAAAATACTTGAACTTGTCGAGACTCCTTCCGAACACGATCAAAGAGGCGTCCGGCGTAATTTAATTCCAGAAGACTCGGCGAGTCTGAAGAATCTGGCGAAAAGAGTGAGGGGAATTAATTAGGCCAAGACCGTAATCCCGTTGTCTCGAGTCTGGCAACTCGAATCGCACTTTCGAATGCAGATTACGTTTCTGCATTGCAAAGTCGAGCCGCGGTTTCCGATGTAAATCGAGGCTGTTTGCTTCGGTCAACAATCGAGCGAAAAACGCGTTTTGAAACGCGTACGAAAAACTCGATTTCTTTTTGAACGGGATCGGTTAACTCGCAGGAAAATCACTTTTCCACGGTATAGAAACGACGGCCACGTGTCCAGTGGCGGAAAAAAGCGTTAGGACCGTTAGGTGGATAATCGAAAGTTCGAGCTGGCAGGCTAACGAATTTCGCTCTTCAATCTCTCGAGCGTGATTAAAAAGACCGAAGTGTAACCGGTTTCCAACGGGCCGATTGTCCGTTTCGGCAGCCGAATATTTCGAGTTTTTCAGGGAAACAACGAGCTTTAGATGACGGAAATGGAAAAGTGGTCCGAATGCCGGATTGTGCGCTTTCATCGCTTTTTCGGATATAAACGTGTTTCGAAACGCTGCAATTTGCGCATTAAGCGGACGAGGGGACGCGTTTTACTTTCGCGTTGTTCAATTTTACAACTTTGATATGCGACATTCGAGTATTAAATTAAAAATTCGCGAATGACAGAAACGGTTGTTACACGACAATTTAACAATTGTAATTGCTGACTGGAATTCGCGGAATTTTTTGGTGCTTCATTAGTCGGAGTAATATTTTCTGAAGCAACGCGCGGATACGTAATTGAATTTCAACGCTGCCCACGAAATGCAACAAGTTGTTGAATTCCAGACGGAACTTGAGCACTTGTGTACGCGTGTGTTTGCTCCGCCAAACAAATTAGAAAATTCAAGTGTATCGGGTGATTCAAAAGTTTCGTCACCTTGTATTTTTATTTGTTTCATTACCACGTGTCACCAATTACATTAATACATTTCATGATTATGTTACAGAAATCTGGTGAATGTCGACATTCACATAGTCGCTTGGTGTATGTCCGAAATATTTGCTAAATACCCTTATTTCTGACTTACACCGGTAAATGTCGACGTTCACCATGCACTAATGGTGAATGTTGAACATGTCGGAGATTTATATTTTCTTCTCCGTAATTCGGTCGCTATAAAACGTCACAAGGTTGACGTAACTTTTTCGCCTCTCTTTCTGAGAGGAGAGACCAAGAATTTAAAACACACAGTACATTCTAAGCATACGTGTTCTTCCTCCGTGGCCTATTCTGCCGTGAGTTTCATATAGTATACTGAACAATTTTTCATTGGTAACATAATACTGTATATTCGTTTCCCCTGATTTTAATGGTACAATTAATTTCCTTTCATCATTCATTTTTAAAACGTCAAAACGTTTTAATCGTCTGTAATCCAAAGGTGTGTTGCACTTAGTTTTAGTAGAAACCACTTCAGAAAGTATTTTAGAGTACTTTTCTTGAGAAAAATAAAAACAATTGTCTTCTCGTTTACCCGCAATTAATGCATTTAACTTTTCAAGAAAAAGATCACGATTTACTGCAGTATCCATTCAGTATAAATTACGGTATTGGAAAAAAAATTAAGGAAACGTTGCTCGCGTTAGCAAAGCTTGCATAAGATTGACAAAGCTGACTGACTCCCAGCAGAACACAGGATTTGGCGGGAGAGAGCCAGTCGCTTCTTTGTCGGCTCCTCTCTTTTGGACCTCCACCAGAGCATATCTGTGATTGTCGACATATACCGGTGAGGGTCCGAATGTACAAGAATGTAATAAAATATTCGGTCTTTCACCGACGTATTTGGTATATACCGACATTCTCCAATTTCGGTCTTTCACGTTAACATATATATTATGAAGTTAAATATTACCCAAAAAACTGCAGAGTTAAACCTTTCAGAATATTACGCAAATAAATTCATAACCAGAAATTCTCCCAAATTACGAACATCATCTCGTGCTATAATATGCATGTCGTAATTTACCAGATCACACTAAATGAAGTTAATAAACCTTCTGCAGCATTACGCAAATAAATTCCTAACCTCAAATTCTCCCAAATTACGCGCATCTCGAGCTATAATGACCATAATCTACCACGACGACCTATAACCTACATCTCCGTTAAAAGTCGAAGCAAAGAACAAAGTAGTAAATAGCAAATGATTCACAATAAGAGCCGTTATAAGTTCTAAAAGTTGTTGAAAGGGGCAGTCCAATTCGCAGGCAGGAATCCGCGAATAAATCGTGATACAGGTCGTGAGTCGGTGAAATCCGCGAAGGAGACTGTCATCACGGCACGTGAATGGAATAAACGTGGAAAAGTTGGCCGTAAGCCATGCATCCAGGCAATATATTTCAGTTTAGCATATAAATGTTGCCAGCAGCCTGTCCTCCTTTTCACGCATTTCTATGTGGAAAATCGATCCGGTGGATCATCTTCCTTTCCGCCTCTTGTGCGTGCAGAAATCTCTGCTGATCCTTGCAGAGATATAGAAATACGTGTTGCGATAAAGATTTCAACACTTTGTTCAGATAAGTTGACACGTTTAGTGAGTGAATTCACGTGTCGTGCTGAGTGTTGAAGCGCCTGAGGACTCAACGAATGTACTTGACAGAAGCTTTGGACTGTACCCAGTAGATTTATAGCGTTTGCGGAGTTTAGGGACCCCAATGGGAAACCTTGAGGGATGTTCAAAGCGGTAGTCTGACCGCTAGGTCCACGGCTTACTGGTAGGTCCTCCGGTGCCTACGCTGCCTATTGCTCAAATATGATTATACAAGTCGAAGGAGACATAGTTCCTCAAGTTTATCACGCATAGTATTTGTGTGTAACACTTTAGCCCAATGAGAAACCTTGAGGGATGTTCAAAGCGGTAGTCTGACCGCTAGGTCCACGGCTCACTGGTAGGTCCTCCGGTGCCTACGCTGCCTATTGCTCAAATATAATTATACAAGTCGAAGGAGATATAGTTCCTCAAGTTTATCACGCATAGTATTTGTGTGTAACACTCCAGCCCAATGGGAAACCTTGAGGGATGACCAACCCGGTACTCATCTGACCGCTAAGCTCCAGTAGGTTCTGCAACACCTACGTTACCCATCGCTCAATTATGATAATACAAGTCGAGTGACACATATTTCCTCAACTTTATAACGTATAGTAGTTGTGATTAACAGCCCAGCCCAATGGGAAAAGTCCGGGCATGTCCAACGTGGTCCTGACCGCTAGGCCCACTCTTGCAGCATCTACCCTGCATCCCATCACTAAAGTATGATAAGACAGATCGGCATGCGTTCCAGCCTTCGTCACAGCGTTCGTACCTAACAGTCAACGGCGGCACCGTCGCTGAATTAGCTCGCACATTGCGCGCAGACAGTTATCTCCTTTAAGTGGCCAACTAGAGTTGTCACATCGCAGGAACTTTGTTGACGACAGCATCGCAGCCACGCAGCTCGTCAGCGTTAATTACTTGCAACAACACAAAGGATGTCTGACACAGTACGTTGAACTTAATCCCAGCGCAAAGACAGAAGGTAGTTGCCTGTTCGTCTTCAGGCGGAGGTGCAGAGAGAATAAATATGTCTAAGTGAACAAATGCCTTGGCTCCGTTCTGCTCTCTTTTGGCCTCAGACCATTTTGGCGCCCGGCTTTAACGAGTTTCTTTGATGTAACGTCGGCGTACACATTAAACCGCTTTACGAGCGTGCATCTAATATACGCGCCTACATTTACGAGCACGATGCCGCGTAATATTCGCCTCTTCCTGCGCGCCATAACGAGCCAGATACGATATCTTGGTCCGCGTTGCCACTCGGTTTATCGCCGAACGGATTAACCTCTCCGCGATCGTGCGCTTCGCGTGAACCTCTAGCGAAGGTTAATTTAACGCTGCCGAGCGCCGTTAACGGGTCGAGAAGTTGTTCCGTAACACCTGATGCGTTCCAGTGGCTTCGGGCTATCGATGAGAAAATCCCTTTCCCTTCGAACATCTCGATTCCTAAAGGAATCTCGGGTTACCAGAAGAGGTTAGGTTGCCGGCGTTGTTGACCACTTGCTTCTTGAAGGGTTCCCCGTAATTGGAGTTATACGAAGCTTACAGCAAAGAAAAGTCTATGCCTGTTATTAAGCATAGGAAACAATAAGACAGATTCGTGGAGCCTAATCGATTAGAATTCGCAGATAGGGTTGGCCCAGGTCCAGGTGGCCATAAAGTGGATTACATTTAACGCGGAGTCGAATTAAATTCGAGCCAGGTTTAAGCTAATCTAGATCTGCCTTTAAATCAGACCCTCCGGTTAGGAAATGGCCC